GTACCAGAAGGAGTCGACCGATATTGCCCATCTCCTAACCCGGTTTATGTTTGATAATAATATTACGATGTTCCAAGTTTGGATCAAATCGGATACTCCCTTCGAGAGTTATCGTGGGTATCAGCCAGACAGAGAGACAGACGGACTGACATCGCTAGATGGACTCCAAATATCCTGAAACGGATTTGGTCCAAAGAGACCTAGGGTCTAAAACCATTATTTCGATGAGGTACGTTTTGGCCGTATCAAATGTTATATACCCTCTCTAGCCATGTGGAGGAGAGTATAACAAAACTCCTCTTGTCAATTAGGTTAGCGCTGTTATAATCCTTTTTTAACCCATCTATGACCTCCAGCAACAGGATGTGTGAACGCGTGTTAAAACATCGCCTGCCCTCTAATTTTGGCATTTCATATTAAATAAATATGCCAACCAAGCAAGCTGATTTCCTTCAGGATATTTCTTTCTTGCTCACTTGTTTACGCATTCAATGTTTTCATTGAGGATATCCACCTGTGTATTCCAGTGACTTCAACAAATCACCTGTATTTTCGTTGACTTTAGTATTGGGGGATGGTTTCGCAGATTTCTGGATTTAAAAACTGTTTTCAATTTGTTACTGGAGCAGAACAGCTGAAACGGCAGGAACTGGTTCAGGTGTCCATTTAGACATTGCAGGATATGCGGATATAAAAGAAGTTGCTACAAAATCTTAAAAAGAAGGAGAATCAGGTTTTTCAGTCAGCTTTAACAAAAATGAGGGAGCCATCTGTTTAAAAGACAACTACAGTTTTTATTGGGCGCCATCTATGTGTACCAAGAGAGTTTATTTGTAAAATAACTTACTGGGCACCACTTTCTAGCAAAGACCACAACCTCACGTTAATCTTTTACAAACTCAATGTTATTTCAGAATTTCCAGTTCAAGAACCCATAACCCAACTAAAAGCAGCCACTGATTTGTAAATGTTAAATGGACCCAGTAAGAAATGGCAGTAGCCAATCACTATTGACCTCCCTCTATACTATGGTTAGAAGCTTCTCAAAATAGTGAGATTTCGGTATAACAATTATTTTCGTAAAAAATCATCCGCAGACTCCACAATAAATGATATGTTCCCCACGAAATTAGGATTTCGACCACCTTCATAAATGTTTTTTTTACGAAAAGCCAAAAAATGGCTATCGGGAAATATATAAGAAATCTATATTCAAATCTTAACCAATCTCGATAAAACTTCTGCGGATGTTCGTAATATCTTTACCAAAAATCATTGTTTTTCGAGTGTATATTACGATTTTGAGGGACTTAGATATAAAATCGGAAGAAAGATATATATGTGGGAGCTATAGCTAAATCTTAACCGATTTTCAAAACCGATTTGAAAAACTGGATTCTAAGCTAAATTTGTTAGTTTCAGCTAAAATTTATCTAATTGGGACCAATATTACACTATAATTGTTATCGAATAAATGTGAGAGCTATATCCAAATCTGGACCGACTTCGTCAAAAATTATTAAAAGTATTTCTAGTTTGCATCCCAAATCTTGTACCGAATATCATTGCATTGGAGTGAATATATGTGCGGATGTAGAGGATTTAAATATGAAATCGGCAGCTGTAGCGATTTTCACTGAAAACTTTCTTCTAGGCCACATTCGGGCCACAAATCGGGCATATATTATATTTGGTGGTCAATAAACATGAAATCGAGTCAAAACGTATATGTGAGCTATAGGGGGAGATAAAAAAACTGCAACAAAGTCAAATGCCATAATTTTTACATTTTTTTAAATTTTTTTTTTTTTTTTTTTTTTTTGAATGAAATCAAAAAATATCGGAAATAGCATCAAATTTTAGAATGAGTTTAGATTTTTTCGAATTGGTCACCTTTGGCACGAATTATGACCTTCAAACGGCCAATGAAATCATCACACGTTGCCCGAATATTGCTCTGTGGTATTTTGACCCATTCCCGACGAAGCGCTTGCTAGAGGTGATCGACACTTTGGTATTTTTTAGTGCCAACCTTGCTTTCCAAAATACTTCAGACATAATATTTCAACGGATTGGTATCCGGAGATTTTGGTGGCCATTGTGCGCTGGAAATGAAGCGAGGAACCTCATTTTGTAGCCATTCGTGGGTGGCGCGTGCTGAGTCCTGTTGGTTGGCAATGATGCCCAATGTTTTAATACACCCTCCAGAATATTTTCGCGATAATATTAGGCATTTATTCTGATGCCACGGTCGATTAATACGAGCGGAGAGCGACCATCGGCTGTTATGGCGGCCCACACCATCAGTATGGCCGGCGCTTGAGTTCTGGTGGCCAACCGAAGGTGCACATTTTCAGATGACCTCTTTGGCAAGTAAACACGATCATTTTGTCTGTTTACAAATTGCTGGACAACGAATGTTTTCTCATCGGAGACCATCGGAAACCAAATTCGGCAGTTCACCACTTTCGGCCAAACGAAGCAACTCTTGAGCTCTTTTGAGTCTATTTTCTTTCTGTTGCCGTGAAAGTTCTTACATTTTTTGGAATTCAAATGGCTTTATCCCGATCTCGTTTTTCAATATTTGCCGAATGGTATAATGCGATATGTTCAGCTAACTAGCCATTTTTCGGCCACTGCGGTCACTGCGACGCGGGTTTCGATCAAGTCGCTTCTTTACTTTTCGAAGCATTTCTGTTGATGTTGCTGTTTTCTTCCGTCCACATCCTTGACGTCGGGCTACGCTACCAGTATCACGGTAACACAAAAGATTTATTCACATTTATCTGCTGGAGTTCTCTAACGTTAGCCACTTGTGGTTTTCGAGCCAATATAAAGACATCACACTATCACGCTTAAATTCCATCACGAATAACTTTTGTCACTGGAATAATTTTAACAGCTGTCGGACGAGTGGTTTTGAAAGTTGGTTGCATTTTTTCATCTCACCCATTCAATCTCATTCAATTTTAATGTGCGCCATATATCTAATATTCCGCACATTCCCTCGAATTTAGCCCAGAAGCAAGTACTTCAAATTTGGTGAAAATATGTTCAGGTATATCTATGTTTCAGCCGATTTTGTTCCCCACATTCGTAATATGCACTTCAGAAAAATGATATTTGGTACTAGATATCAGATACAGCTCAGAAATACCTCTGTCAAATATTATAGAGATCAAGCCAGATTCGGATATAGCTGTGATATATTTTTGTTCGATTTCAAGTATATTGTTCGCCAAATGTGTAATATTAGCCCAAATAGGATGAGTTTTGGCAGATACTACCAAATTCAGTCCAGAATAAAGTGTGTTAATTTTCGGTTCAGATATAGCGATGGGCCCCATATGAATATGTTTTATCCGATTTTACATCCAAGTCACCCAAATCCGTATAATACACTCCGTAACAAGGATCTCCGGTACATATCGGCATATAGGCCATTTAGCCGCTCTCCCCCCACCTTCGATCATCTTTTCTTTTCCTTGTCCTGATGACCCCTTTTGTCGATAATACCGCTTATTACAGGTTGAAGTACAAATTAACATCTTCAAATACGAAAGTTGACACAATTCCGGTGAATAATGTCGCTAATATCACCAAAATACCGAATAAGGGGATGTACTGTTATATCGGAGCTATACGAAGACCTGGACCTGCATAGATAATTTTCTATCACAGGCTGTAGTACCTATTATGAACTTCAAATACCAAAATTGAAACAATTCCGCTGAATAATGTCGCTAAAATTTCCAAAATACCGAATAAAGGGATGTACTGCTATATTGGGGCTATATGAAGATATGGACCGGCATATGAAGTTTTTTCCCCCGTTGCGAACTTTAAATACGAAATAATGTCGCTGAAATAATTAAAATACCTAATATTTTGAGGTACCATTATATGGGGGCTATACGAAAGCGTTAACCGACGTGGTCCATTTACGAATTGAACCTGCCAACTGGCTAAATACACAAAGTATGCAACATTTCAGCCTTCTATTGCAATTCTTTTGAAAGATAGCGTGATTATAAAAGATAGACGGGAATCGCTAAATCGGTGCCGATTCAGAATATATGTTGGGTCTGACATGAGTATTTGGAGGAGTCATAACCGGAATGGCAAAGTTAATACACCCTCGATTATATAGTGGAGGGTATAAAAACACAATCTTATTAGTATTTCGTCATAAAACGGAGTTCAAAAACTGGCTATACACCATTCACTTTCCCTTCTATGCATTGTTCTTTCTTGGTCAAAATGCTTTTATTGAGGTAAGTTTTAAAGGAAATGTAAATAATCTTCTTGTCAGGCTCGTCTACCCGTTAGAAGACCGAAAACTTCTTCAGGATCTCCTCCATTCAGCCCTTATGGTCTCTTTCTATGATTTTATTACATGATTGCCTCCTGAGACCTTTGTTTTTGATAAGGGGCCCAACTACGTAATGTACTTGCCATGGTAGAAGAATACAGGTAGTCGTATCGACACAGCTGCTGGGACAATGAACTGTCAAGAAAATTTTGGAATGGAAATTTTTGAATGAAGAGTTATTCAAATTTGTAAAAATGCATTAATTAACAACAAATAAGGAAAACAAATCTATTTTTTAATATACATAAAATTTCTTGACATATCAAAGTATCCAAGCGTTGATGCATCTACCCATATTCTTCTACCATGGTACTTGCCTTTCTCCGCTTTTGGCCGTTGACGAAACTACCAATCTAACTGCGTTCCCTAAAAATTCACTTCGTCTCAGTACTCCCACCAAATATCCCGAGCAAAACAAACCAAAGAAAAAACATAAACAAAGAACTAGCCTAGCAAAACAAACCCCCCGCTAAAGCAGTGTAACCCCATAAACAACAATGAGAGCAAGCTCAAGAAAGAGAGCCAAATACAAAAGGCAAATAAATGACAAACACAAAACAAAATGTCAAAAAGCATGACGTGCGGAGAGCAATGATTGAGTACTCTTGTCGCATGTTGGTGTACTCATTCGTTGTAGATATTTTATCCGTAGCGGACGTGTTCGGTGGCCAAAACGTTTGTACCGTCGCAAAAAAAAATACAGAAAAATACAGAAAAAAAAGAAATATTGAAAAAAGTGTTTGAAAAATATTTCAACAAAAGAATGGAAAAAATAAAATTTAATAATGAAAAAAATTAAATCAAAGCCTATTTGAAGAGAAATGAATGAATGAATTCATATAAAGTGAGTGTTGGATGGTGGAAATTTGATTTGAAATTTCCCCAAGAAAAAGAAAAGGTTTTTGTGAAAAATCCATTGAAATATGTGAAAAAAAATTTTTTTCTCCCCTACACTACACACAGTGCTACAGACTTGTGTGTTTGTTCTGAGTGTGTGTGCATGGTTGGATATACAATGTGAAAAGAAGTTGCATTTATAAGATACACAGAGCAAAAGTATGAAAAAAAAGGAATGAAAAGAAGAAGCAGCAGCAGTGAAATAAGAAAAAAATAATATTCTGTGTGTATTGAGAGTTTGCTGGGGAGAATGTTCCAATTGGTGGTTTTTTTCGTGTGTGTGTTTGTCGATGAGAGAGGAGAGGAAGGGGTGGCATTTGGAAGTTGTAGAGAGAGAATACATTTCACACTGCCGCCATCAAATCAAATGGTGGTTGAGTTGTGTGGTGTTGTTATTATTATTGTTATTTCTGTTGTTGCCGTCAATGTTGCTCATTCTGTCGGCAATGTTAATGATGTTGTTAAAGAAGGTTCGTGTTTGTTTTTGTTGCCGTTGTTGGGTACTCTACATTCGTACCTTCGTCGTTTTCTTCTTCTTCTTCTGATGGCTGTATGAATTGCAAAGTGTTTTAGTTGTTGTTTCTCATGCAATATTTGTTGTTTTTACCACCTTCCTACTTTCTACACTTACTCTCTGCCTCTCGCTCTCTCACTCTCGCTCTCGTGCCCGTTAGCACCCCATCAATTGCTGTGGTGTTTGAGAATAGAAAAAAAAACAAAACAACGAAAAGAAGAAGCACAAGAAATTACATGGCGTACCAAATGACTGCGGAGATTTTTGTAAGACCAGCGCGTAAAACTCTGTACACCAGTCTTTGCAAAGAAAATTGGAATTGGAATTAAAGTTTCTATGCCAACTAATAAATAAGAAAGAAAGAAAAAAACAGCAAATTGTAAAGGAAAATCCCAAGAGAGAGAACAATCAGGTTTGCTGTGGCTTTTATTGTGAAGAAATATTCTATCTAATCAGAATTTAATTCATTGTATTTCAGATTTACCAGTCCAATTAGAATTGATAAGACATTGATAGTCAGAGATACTAGGAAGCATAGCGTTAAGTTCCGCAAATAATTGGTTTTAACTCTAGGAAAAACTCACGGATTTTTTTGAATTTGTTTGCAGAGCTTGATATTCATATCCTGGTTGGGGGAAAGTAATTTTTTTTTGATGGACGCCTCTGGATGCCCGTATATTTGGTCCAAGACCTGGGCTAAGCCCGGACTTACTAAATCTATATCGACAATATATTTATATCATTTGAAAGCTAATGAAAGCTACTTTCAATAAACTGATCCAGGAAATATAATGACACATACTGTAGCATTTTAGAAAGGTTGGAGTGTCCAGTCTGTTTAGAATTGATAAGACATTAACAGTCAGAGACTAGGAAGCATAGCGTTAAGTTCTGCAAATAATTCAGTATAACCCCAGAAAAAAGCACGATCTTTTTTTGAAAGTTTTTCCAATTTTAGATTTTTTTTGTGATACGTCCTGTGTGCCCGCATATTTGACACGAAAGTCCTGGCGCAAGACCGAGTTTAAACCCGGACCTACTTAGCCAATATTGGCAATAACATACAAGGTTTGAAAGTTAATGAAAACATAATTTCAATGAACTGAACAGAATAGATTTTCCAGGTTTTTAGGCTCATATCTCTGGATCCAGGAAATATAATTGCACACATTATAGCATTTTGAAAAGGTTGGAGCGTAAGCTATAATTGAGTTTATATTTTATAGACTTCCATAATAAGCTCTTCTTCGACTTTTTTAGGTTTTTTCTACACTCGGCCATACATTGAGGGTATATTAAGTTCGTCATTCCGTTTATAAGTCATCGAAATAATAATATTAGACCCTACAAAGTATATATATTCTGAATCAGCGTGAAATTCTAAAATGATTCAGCACAGTGCCTCCGAATGTCTGTTATAATCACGATTAAAAATAGGAGGCAAATATTTTGCACAGATCAGTTTTTTGTCTTCAGGCAGGTCATTAATGGGATTTTTTAATGGGATTGTCTAAAAACAAGTAAAAAAGATGTAAGATCGGCCGGGCGAACTTTGAATACGCTCCACCATTTCGAACGAATTTGGCAATTCTCAAAAACAATAAAATCCCTTAAAAATTCTGTTAAAATCTGTAAAATGTCGAATAAAGCTATTATATTAGGGTCTATACGACGACATGCACCTGCGTAGGTAACATTTGTCATAAGCCATTACAATATTCAAATGCGAAACTTAAAAAAAATCGGTTATAATGTGGATAAAATCAAAATACCGAATATCGGGAGGTACCGTTATATGGGGGCTATACGAAGACGTGGACCTGCACAGACAATTTTCTGTCTTAGGCTGTGGTATCCATTACGAATTTCAAATGCCAAATTTGAAACAATTCCGGTGAATAATGTCGCTAAAATTATCAAAGTATATCGGGAGGTACCTTTATATGGGGGCTATACCAAAACGTGGACCTACATGGCCCATTTTCAATACCAAAAGTCCTGCAGACATAACATACATTTGAGCAAAATTTTATCAATCTACTTCAATTCGTTCGGAAGCTACAGTGATTTCCACAGACAGACATTCGGACGGAAGTCGCTAAATCAACATAGAATTTTATGCTGATCAAGAATATATATACTTTGTGGGATCTAAAATGTGTATTTCGAGGTGTTACAAACGGAATGATAAACTTAATATACCCTCCATACTATGGTGGAGGGTATAATAAACACTTGAAGTTGTTTCTAACCACTTTACCCCCTGAAGGAGAAATGTCTACATAGGTCGGTATATTCGGTATTTTTAAGATTTTAACGGATTTCATTTTTTTTTTTTTTTTGAAAATTTCCAAATTCTTTCCAAATGGTGGAGGGTAATCAAAATTCGGCACGGCCGATCTTACTGCTTTTTTACTTGTTATAACCTCAGCCACATGGCTAGTGAGGGTATTACGTGCCTCATCGAAATAACGATTTTAGACCCTAGGTCTTTTTGGGCCAAATCCGTTTCAGGACATTTGGAGTCGATCTAGCGATGTTCGTTCGTACGTCTATCTGGCTGGCTGGAGCGTACGATAATTGTCAAAGGGAGAATTATTATTATCTTAAATCGAATTTGGAGATGGACAATATAGCTTCACTCCTTCTGGTATCTCCAACACAAAATGTCAACATTTTTGAAAGAAAATAATTTACTGCACAGAAAGAGAAAGAATGATCTGATTTTGCTCCAACTTTGCAAATCCTAATATTTCCACCAGTGATTCGTTAGGTACGAAAATTGACAGTATCGGTCAACTCCATCAAGTACCTCCCCCCAAAGGGTCAACATTTTGAATGATTATAACTTTCATAAAATGTGATGTAAGATTGTCCGATTGACTTCAAAGCTCATAAAACACGAAATTCTCATCCGATTACACTCAGACTTGGCTCACCTCAATATTTCTATAACAAGATCTGTTATAAAGGTAATAGAGCTCAAACCATTACTTAATGATACCTCCCCCACAAAGGGTCAAAAAGCATCCGGTTCTCTTCATATTTCACATATCCCATTATTTTTATTAACACAAGATCTGCTGAGAAGATGGGATATATCGGCTCACTGTTTCTAGTATCCCCCCCCAAAAAAAAAAGGTCAAAATTGTGAACATCCATGAAGCTCACAAAACGCGATATTAACATCCGATTCCATTTAAACTTGGCACGTCTCAATAATTCTATCAGCACAAGATTTGTTATAAAGATGGTAGAGACCGGAGCATTTCTTCTGGTACATCCCCCACAAAGGCTTCAATATTTTTGAATAACCAAAACGATCATAAAATCCGAAATAGGCATCATGATTTTTCATGAACCTGTAACCTTAAAAAATTTCAAACAAATCCGAGACTTTAGTTTTTATATAAATGGGAAGCCATGCAAAAACTGAACCCTGTCAGAAAATTTAGTCAAGATCTTCGACACTTCTAAAAAAGAGATGAACTTTTTTACCCACTGAGAACCTGAAGTTAATCCCCAAATAAAAATAAAACAAACAATAAACATGGAACTCTTTCCCCTACGCGTGCCTCGAAGATAGTCCAGCCGTTAAGAAGGTTGATTAATTATTTATTTTTAAACCAGTACTTGTCTTCGAACAAAGATATCTAAGAGAGGATCCATGAAATTACCAACATTTTCCGAATGACAAACTTAACATAACCTCCATACGGCATCGGTCCGGAAGATAGTTTACAACTTGGCCAGGCAAAGAGGATTAAATGTAAAACTGGAATAAAACATAGTACCAATGTCTTTTCACCAGGACGATTAAAATTGGGCAACCGGCCTTCCGGAATAATACAATATGTATCTCCCGTTAAGCCTAATACCTTTAATAAATCCTAGATAAAAAAAATTATTAACGAAAAAGCAAATAAAAATCACAGATGCCGGTCAATCCGTAGAATAACAATAGATTAAAGATCGGAACGAAATCCCAATAAATCGTAATAAGACCTATCCTAAAATACACGTCGGTATTCTGGAGGACAGCAATGGACAAAGGCTACAATATCAAAATCCTACAATCAGCCCAAAGTATGACATGGGACACTCAATAGAGGAAATCAATTCTGACAGAATACCAGAAAAAATAACTGCTTGTGTGGAGTAGGAAGTAGCTGACGAGAGATCGGCTTATAGGCATTTTTTTAGCCACACTTTTAACCATATGGGCAGCGGACATTTTGGTCGATGGTGCTTTAATTCCCACCTCCAGACTTATTTTGAAAAAGGACCAAAAATAGCTTTTTGGTGATACCTAAAATACAAGGATTACAAGGAATCTTAATCCTAAAAATACAAAAAGGGGACTGAACCTGCCCCCTTTATTTAGGTTACTTTGTGAGGAAAGGTTTCTATTTTTATCTCTTCTTTCATAATCT